TAAAAGCTGCTACTCCAAAAGTATTCTCAAAGTGTTCAACACTATGCAGCTCAATAAAGTAAATCGTGACAGTATAGAGGTAATTTCAATGATTGCCACACTGTACACTTTGTCATGTGGACAATGTCAGTCCTGTAGCAAGTGTGAGCCAGGGAGCCACCTCCTTCATACAGCCCACAAGCGGCCAGTGTCCACAGAGCATTTTCCAGTGCAGCAGCATTCCTGCTTTCACATTTCACCATGAAAGACTTCCTTGTGCCTGGAAGTTTCCATCTGAGCAGCAAGAAAAAGCAGGTTTGTTGCTGTCTTGACAAAATCCCATTAAAATTCAGCTGGAGATGTATCCTGCTTAGGTAAGTTGCTTTGGTGGCAGCTCACCCCCTTGGGCATGCCTCTTGTAGGATGGACACCACCAAGTACAACTGAAGAATAAGATTTTTATTGCTACAGACAGGATAAAATAAGAAGAGATAAGGAGGGAGAGAGAGGTAATCTTTATAGACTGAGCAAAGGAGAAAGAAATATTATTAGTGGCTTGAATGAGCTGTCTGCCCAAGGCATTGGAAGTCCACCAAGACGGCAATTGTTTCCTGCCAAGACAACATTTAGTCACAGTAGTAAATGATCACCTGTGAAGGGAGGTCAATCTGTGCAAGGGAAAAACACAAGGGAACTGCAGCTCAGGTTTGGCCAGTGCCTGCTCTAGCACTGCTCAAGCCATGGGAAGTTTTTGATCCAGTCCCATGATGAGGCTTCTTATCATTTGCATTCACAAAATAAAGAGAACCTTGAAATTCTACTCATCACTGCTAAGCAAAAAAACCCAACAACAAATAAAGTCCAAGTCTGATTTCCTTTTTATGAACATCTCTCAGGTGTGGCAAAACACCACTGGAAACCATCAGCTTCATCACTCAGCCAGCCCATCCTCTGAGAAGGGGAGCCAGGCTGGCGTCCAGCATCCTGCTCTGGTCACCATGACAACGTGATTGCCCAGGACAGCTGAAGAAAAATCCTTTGGAAACCTCTGGAGCTCAAGAGGAATCTAAATAATTATCAGGCTGGACTTCTGTCTCCAGGGACATCTGTGAAGGACCATGGTGACGCATGCTCTGATGTCAGCTCAGAGCCCCAGCAATCCCACCGTAGGAATTCGCTGTCAGCAGCACGGGTACCAGCTTATGGCCATGTCCCTGATGCCATTGGTGTCACACAGTGAATGACAATGAGCAGAGGAAAGGTTCACTCCGCATTAGGACCTGAAGTGCTAATGAATGTTAACAGTTCATAAAAGAGCCTGTGCTCCTGCATATTAATAACTCACCAGAAGCTTTGAGAGGTGATTGTGCAATAGAAATAATAATTGCAATATTTAAGGGGAAATAAATAGATAAGCTAATGTGAAAGTTCACTTCATTTGCATGGCAGAATTTTACTTTTTATCTTTGCATGAGATGTGACTCAACGTGGGATGACAGGGGAAACGCAGAGGTGCAGGTGACCTGTCATTTGCAAGTAATAGCTTTCTGGGTATTTGGCTGTTAGGATTTGAAGCAGCTCTTCTTTGAATGGCGGTACAAAGCAGACCTTGGACGGGGCATGCTATTTCCCCTGACAGCTCCAGATGTTCTTTACTCTCGGTCCTTGTCATTTGTGGAGTGCATCTGCCCGACTGCATGAGGAATGATTCATCAGGCACGGTGAGGTGGCACACAGGGCTGTTTTGGCTCTAATTCAGGTTTCGGATTTTAACAGCAGAAGGCTTTTTATTTGGAGCAGAGGTCACAAATGCAAGGTCTTTCTGCAGTGGTTTTGAGCATCAATAATGATTTATTTATAAAACTTACTACACGGGTTATTTGTGTAACGTATTCAGGCAGTGCTTTGGAGTCACTGCAGCTATTCCAGGTTAGAGCAGCTCAGCCTTCTATCTATATATGTATATCTTGCAGATATATACAGCAAGATAGACTCCTCCTGGCCTTACCCAGCCAGGACTTGCCCTCAGCCCTGAACTTTGCTGTGTGCATCTGCACTACAGTCATCACAGCACTGGGCTTTGGAGATTCAGGGTACATTACAGCTTAGCTTCCTGCAAGGAGAAAGAAGTAAAGCCCAGAGAAATCTGGAGGGCAAACACATTCAGGAGACCCCCAGATCTGAGCAAGCAGAGAACATTTTGGTGACAGGAGCTGACTTCTTGCCCAGCCTACACCCAAGAATTTCAGCAGCTACACCAGGATCAGCTGTGTATTTTCTGGTTTTGTCGAGCAAGCCAAAGAGCAAAGGTTGCTCTTTGCCCACTTCATAATGCTCAGCTGGAAAATCCCAAGGATGTGGATCAGAAACAATTGGATATAAGATGACAAAGTGGCATTATGGTGTATTATAGACTTTCTGCTGAATCAGTACATGTCAGAAAGCATTTTGCAGCCCAGACCTATCCACAAAGTTCTCCATGGTATTCCTCCAAGCTTAGCATGTTTCATCTCTTCTGTATAGACTGCCTGTATTGAAGGAGCAGCCTCAGGAGCTCTAGAAAAGAGCGCTGCTGTTTGTGCCCAGGTCCCCTCTCCTCGGTAAATTTCCACCCTGATTAACAAATGGCTTTTACTTAAAATAGCATTCTTCCTCTGAACTCCTCCGCACACTGCATCTGAGCCCTCAGTGGAGCAGGGCAGTGGAGCTGGTAAGTAAAAAGAGCCCCAGACAACCACTTGCACACCCATGACACCCCAAGAGAGGGACCCCAGCATTTCTCATTCCTGACAGGCAGCAAAATACACCAACATTACCAACACACAGAAATATTGTAAGAAATAAACTTTAACACTAGCTATTACATCAAATGTAATCTCAGCTCCTGTGAGGAAAGGTTCCCTTACCAGCACAGGCAGGATGCACAGCACTGCAGCTGAGCACCCAGTATGTTTGTTATTCAACAGGTGACAAATGACCTGACTGTTAATTAAAAGGTGATTATGTTCTGCAAGAAATTGCTACCAGGTGCTCTTGGTAAATAAAAGGAGAGGCTGGGCTGCAGCTGGGCTTTGTCTTTATAGAGTTGGGGCAGAAGATGGAGTGCAGGGGGGCAGTTGGGGGTGAGTGTTAAGTGATGAGATCTGTGGGTAGATATTTGCCTTCAATTTTAAGGGACATTTATATTTTGTTAGGTCTTTCTTTCCTTGTGGCTTGGGTGCAGTGTTGCTTCCTGGCTGGTGCTGCAGGCAGATGCCCTTTGGTTTTCCTCTGGGATTCTTTTATTTCAGCATGTTTAAACATTCTCTGATGTTTCCGTCTTCCTGAAAATAACCTAAGAAATTAGGATAAAGTTTGATGCCTTACAAGAGCTGGCTATACTCAATACTTGTCTCTGGTTATCTGCTGGGTGTAACACTATGGGGATGGGGATGTTCCGTACCTTGAGGCAGCAGAGGGAATGTGGGAGGAAACCCTTTGCTCCAGCACTGCATCTGGGGTGGTAAAAGTGCTTCTGTGCCCTACCTAGGTGAGCTTAAAAACTGCGTTCTGCTCTGCATGAGCATATCTAACTCTTCTCCATAGGATGCAAAACTTGGTCCTGCTCTGAATCCTCTGAGTAGTCAAAGCCCCCAAAATCTGTGTGTGGAAATGTTTTTTTAGGGGAGTGGTGGGGCACTGGGACATGAGGAAACAGCAAATACCCCCCACAAAAGATGGAACAGGCCCTGAACTATTGCTGGCTGGCATTCCTCCTGTCTCCAGTGCCAGGGATGCAGCTGCTCTGAGCAGGTCCCATCTACTGGAAAAAAGATTATTTCTGGCAGAAACACCCAGAAGCACTCTGGCTGTTGCAGATACTTGGTTGTGATTCACTAATGGATGGGTGGTTGTCTCCTCTTCATTTTCATGGCTTAGGTAATGGAAGAGGATGACAGATCTGAGCTACTCCTGGGTGAATTACACTGGGCAAGGGGAATTTCTCATGAGCACCTGAGTAACACCTATGAGAAAAGAGCAGCGTGAGTAAAAAGTGGTGCTTGGTGTTGGTGCGTATGTGGTATCATGCCTATGAATCCCCTGTAATGAAAGTCCATTCTATTTCCCCCTCAGCACAAATCACTATTTATAGGGTGAGTCTAGGACTTTTTCTTTTAAAATGTGTGCTACCCCAACTGTAAAAAGGTTTATATGAAAGATTTATATACTTTTATGTTCCTTTTATGCAGCAATAGGAAAAGTGGAACACAAGGGGGAAAAGAGGGACTAGGAAAAACCACCCTGGTATTCGCAGCACAGATGACAGACTTAGGTTTAGCTGTGAGGAGAACCAAGGATGAACAAAGTCTGGAGACAGATGAGGGGTAGGTGTGGTGAATGCCTCCTGGGCACCATTAACATCCCTATCTCTGTAATGTGCTTCCCTCATCATATCTGAATGCCTAAACAGAGTATTTGGAATAGCATGCGAAGTCAAGGAGGACACATCCATCACAACCAACAGTAACTGCCTGTCAACCTGACCTGTCACGACATGATGTCCTGAGGTATTGAGACGTTATCTTTTCTGTCAGCTGGTGCTGTAGCTGTGGATGCTAGCAGGATTATTCCAGGCTTGTTATAATTTTTGTTCACCCTTTTTGAAGGGCCATGGAGAAGATACCATCCTCAGCAGCAGCCATGCACGTGCTTAAGTTGTTAATGTGATAGGAGCCCCTCTTCTTTCCACCCCTATAAGTAATTCTTGGTGAGACTTAAAGTGGATAATTGACTGGAACTAGCAAAGTTGTTCTGATGGGTCAGGGGGAAGATGCAAGGTCTAAATAGTATATAATTCCCCTCTGTATCTCAACAAGATGTTTCTTTAAGGAATGGAGATGTAGCTACAGAGTGGATATAAATGCTGTTTCATTGCCAAGCTGTGGGAACCTTATGCAGCAGTAAAGTTGATCCCAGTAAACATGATGGTGAACTGTTATTTCCTTGATAACATGATTTTACTTGCTCAATATATGTGCATTGCCTCAGACTATTGAGAGGCTGTGTTAGGAGGTTTGTGTAAATTGCTGGGATTACATTTCCAGATAAGTTTTCTGTCCCTATGCTGTTGCAGCACAGGTCACACTGGGTTGTACTTAACTGGCCCTATTACGGGAAAGGGAGGATTTATGAAATACCTTTTCTTTTGCATTGCATATAAAACTATAACATTTAAAACTGCTTTATAGGGAAACTGCTTGGGCGCTTCCAGCTCATGGTGTCATCTCCTGCTCAGACCAGGTTCCCCTTCGTGGCTGCCACCAGCCTGAATCATGATAGCTCTTTCAGAAATCTCCAGCTGGGATTTGTCCCCGAAGCCTGGTGGGAAGTGCAGTGAGTTCAAGCTCTGCTGAAGAGCTTTTCTATTTCTGGTGGGTGCTGCTGATCCTCTGCCCTGCTTGGAGCAGGCTCACAGCTACCCAGGCACTCACTAATGAGAACTGTTTATACAGGGATTTCTGGTTTAGTGGCTAGGAATGGTGATTTTTAGTTAGGGTTGAGCCTAGAAGGGAGACGTGCAGGCTCTTAAAGACTGGGTGAGGAATGGAGGGAATATACTGCTCTGTCCTTGAGAAGTGAAAGGTGATGCTTGTACCAGAACACATTATCTTTGCCCTCTTCCAACTGAGAAAAACACCTGAATCATTCATGCACCAGTTCCTGCGTCCTAAATGTGATTCTCAGGATGCCTTAAAGCCCATTAAAACAGGCAGAGTTCCTCCCATGCTTTATGCAAAAGGAGGTTCCAGTTTGTCTTTCCATGCATTAATATCATGTGCCACTGACATGTACATTCCAGTCCTCACCTGACCCTGTACTGGATCAAGAAAAGGTTGATAAAATTTCACTTTACATAATTCATTTGTAAATTCAGATGCCTTTAAGCAACAAATTAAGGAAATTCCTTATTATTCTGTCAAACAGAAACCAACAATCATTTCTTTCCTGTGAGTTTGGGTGTATGAAGCTATTTGCTTTCAAAATTTAGTGCATGTTTGGTTTTCTTTTTTCCCCTGAAGTGTCTGTACTTGGTGACTGAGTACCCAAATATTTACCAACTCGCAGATTACAAGGTGGGAAGAAAAGCCAATTTCATTTATTTAGCCTGAATCCCTAGGCAATGTACATGATGGGCTGCTCTGTTGCCGTTTAAATATTTATATAGTGCCATCAGCTTCTTGACCAGTTTCCTTCTATATTAAATACATCCTCCTTGCTAAATGAGTGCTTCCATTTATGTTGTGATTTAGAGCCAACTCCAATGGTTTATTGTGATTTAGGGGTGGCGTTAGGTTTTACCTTAAGTAATCTTCTGGGTATGAACTTTTCTCCCAGCCTGATGTATCAGTATCCCAGCAAGTGAGAGCCCATGATCCTCCTTGCCTCTCTTCACTGCCTGGCTTTAATTGGCCATTTGGGAAGCCTGCATGGGAAGATGAAAACTGTAATATACTGAATTTCCTCACCTTCATTTTATCTCAGTGTATTTTTTTAAATGGTTTTCCTGATTGGTTCGGAGTTGTGCTTTTTAAATTCACTTCCCCTCTGTCATTTTCTTACACCTGTCTGAAGGAACCCGACCGTTTCTGTAGCCTCTCCCCTTGCTCTGCCCTCAGTTGTTTTTCATTCAGGTCCTCAAAGTGATTGATGGATCTTTTCAGTTCAGGGCTATTAATTACTTGTGGGTGTCTCCACAACAAACTCATAACAAATATTCTCTAAGCAGAGCTCACCATACACATCCGGGGTTTATATATATATATATATACACACATAAAAATATTAAAAATACAAAAATAGATAATATTGCATGCATTATGTATATAATATATACTATATGGTTTATAATATATACTGTACCCTCACACCTTGACAAGAGGTGGGTGTGTTTGTCCAGTGACGATGCACAGCTCCTCCAGAGGCAGTTTGCTCCCATGGTCTCTTGCCTCCAACACTCTCTGCATGCTGCCTCCCACTGCTCCTGAAATCCCATCCATGTGGATGCTCAGCCAAGGCCATGTCCCTCCTTTACCCCACCAGGGAGCCATGAGCTGCATCCAGCAGGGTGTGCTGGGAGGCGGCATTTTCACCCCTTTGCACAACCTGCTTCAGCCTCAGCTCGTCTTCCCCACCTGCTCAAGTGTTGAGACCCAACACTTGGTGATCCATTAGCTCAACTTTTCATTGATTTGCCAATAAAAATGCTCTCAGCTCTGTCTGTGTGGGTTTATAAAACCTTTTAGACTTGTGTAGCTGTTCTTTGGGCCTTTTGATGCAGTTTTATTTTTTTAGTTTTGTTTGTTTGTTTCAAAACCCAATCAAACAAATAACATATCATCTATAAACTGATTTAAATGCATTACAAATAAAGGGGGGCAAAAAGGAGACAAAAGTAGTAACAGTTTTATTTCAGGAGGCTCACCTTTGTGTCTTACCCTGGCTTGCACACAAAGTAGCTTCTCATCTGTGTCTCCAGCTAAGTGGTCAGCTCTCCTTTATCCCACCAGGAACAGCACAGCACCTCTGGCTGGACTTCCAAGACAGACCCACCTCTCCAGAGATGCCCAGTTGACGTCTCCCTGATGGACTCTATATGGCTCCTCACGCCCATTTAAAAACCTTTCATGCAGGGTGTGAAGGTTTGAGAAGACTGGCCAGCAATCACAGAGGTGTTCCTCAGGTAGGGAGAAACAGTTTGGGTTTAGAGGAATAAAGGCTTCTGTGCCCTAATAAAAGACACAGGGTCTGGTTTTGGACAGCAAACTTTGTAGAACAGTAAAAACTGGGACACAGAGCTAAGAAAATGTGTTTTGCCAAGCAGGAGCTTGTAATCCAGAGGGCTTCAGTGAATGGTGGCTTCCAGAGCAGGCTCCTGCTTGTGCTGAATTACCTGCAGCTGGTGAAGGGAAGTGAGAATTAATGGCAGCAAAATAGTGACAGGCCATTGACGGCTCTGTGGCACAACCCTGATGGTGTAAAAGGCACACTGCTCTTCCCCAGTGTTACTGATTTCAGCTCCTTGAGTTCCTGTCTCTCCTTGCTCAGCTGGGGCTCCATGGAGCTGCCCGCTGTGTGCCACCTCCTCTTCCCCTGCCCCAGGGCAGTGTCTTTGGCACTGCTGGGGTTGACCCAGAGGAGTGCAGGGCACCTCAAAGATGTTGGCTTGGTAATATCCATGGGCGCATCTTCGCATCCCAGCACTAGGAACAAGAAGGATTTTAGGTGTCATTTTCCTAGCTCAGCAGTGGACTCCAGCCTGAGAATCATAAGAAAATTGGTAAGTGCACTGAACTGTGTTCATTACACAGCCATTAACTATAAATAGCCAGTTTGTAACCTTCATAAGTGGGCTTTGGGGAGAAGCAGTAATGCATACCTGTAATAAGTGTGCATTGCACTGTGCTGCAACACAGCTATGTCATGATCGGAGGAAACAGCTATATTTTATTAATTTTGCTGAAAATGTATGTTGGCCTCTGCCTAATGAATACTAATAGAACCTTTAAATCTCATTTACCAAATACGTACAATTAAAGAACAATGAGAGGCATTACTTACAGAGCACATTCAAGCATTACTGAAATATCCCATTCGGTTATTGCAATAATTGCAAAATAAAATACATTGATTGCTCTGTATTTATAAATTCAAGAGCTATTTGGGTCTGTGTGCACCCTTCCTAATGTGTAATGAAGGTTATAAAAGGAACAAGCATCTTAATGTGAAACACAAGGAAAACTCTAAAACTGCATGAACTGTGAGAAATAAGACATTGTGAGTCAGTCATTTACTCATGTTCTCTCCCAGCAAAGAACAAGGGTGATGATGCAAACAGGATGTGGGAGGATTTGTGGATATTTATGAGCAGGTGCTCTTCAGCTGGAGTCCATTTTGAAGTAATTGACACCTGGGGATTGCTGGGCACCAGAGATGCTTCTGCAAAGCGGGTTTGGATTTACATTGTCCTTAGAGCTAGATTTATCTTCTAGCTTTTTTTATATCCATTGCCCCTAAGAAAGGTGCTGGCCAGGTTGTGCCTGTGCTGCTGTCCCTCGGGGTCTCTTTGGGCACAACACCAAGTGGTACCTAGAGAACAACATACAGGTTCTGCTGGTGTGTCAGAGACCTACCTTGAACAGGATGGGACAGGAAGGGTGTGGGAACGAGTGCCCTCAAACCCAACCTTACACCAAGAGGTTTCCAGTCAACAGCCACCTGCTTCCTTTTATTTGCAGGCTTGAGTTATTTTGAGGCTGTTTCATATACAAAGACAAAAACTTGATCATTTTGTCTTTTTTTTTCCTCCTCTTTATACCAAGAAACAGCTGCAGTTTCTAACAGAGCAGTTAGAGGAACTTTGAGGACGTCAGTGGGTGTTAAGGGGTGTCTGGGTACTGCATGTGGCTGGTTCCTGTGTGGGGGTAACAGGCAATAGGCAGAATGGATAAACAAAAGCACCACCAAAAAGATTAAAGAAGCCTATTGTATTTAAACCACAGAGCTGAGCCCCCAGTAAGAACAATCCACAGTGACACAACTTCTGCTGAAAAACATCCCCTGGGCACTTGGGTTTAGTTTGGGGGCTTTGGGCACATTTCCATGACATCTATCTCCCTGCCAGTTTACATATTCCCTCTCTGAAGCTGTTTTATCCCTCCTTGGGAGCCTCCAACCATGCTGGATGTGTCCATTGTCATTTGCTAGTGAAGTGATTCCCCCCTCCCAGGTGAGGGAAAGCAGACATGTGGGGTTCCCAGTGGCACTTCAGTCTTTATTTTTTAACTGATTTCTCTGATTCCACAAACACAAATCTGTTTTCACGTTTCTGCTTCAGAACCGTAACTTGCCCATACATCCCCCGTCTTCTTATTTCCCCTAGGTCAGAAATTGCCATCCACTGCTCTGTGGGGGGGATCGGCCTCTCAAAATGCACATATTGCCCCAGAATGGCTGCCAGACACAGCCAGACCATGGTGGGAGCATCTCTGTGAAATAGCTGGAGCTTGATGAGCAGCCTGAGAGCCACCAGCTCATCCATAACAGCTGCTCCTGGGGCAAAATGGCTTGAGGAGTCTGCAGAGCCGATGTGTGCAGCCTTCAGGACAGGGATTTAATAACAGTGTTTTTTTCTTCCAAGGACCATTTATTAGCTATTTACAGAGATGTTTGCTTCTCCCTTGGAAGCTGAAGCCAGCATTCTTTATGTGTGGTGTGGTTATAATGCCATTAAACTTTGTGAAAACCCATCTGCAATGATTTGGCCCCAGGTAGGTACAGATGAGGAGGAAAAAGCAGCGGTGTTTTCTGGCTCATCTGTGGAGCCTGGCGGGATCTTGTAGCGTATTCTGCTTGGATGTGGTCACTACATTCCCTATGGAGCCAGGGGCTTGTGCCAAGTGGTGAATGGTTTTGACAGCCACCAAAATCTCCTCTAAATGTTAAAATGCTGATCAATGTCACTGAGACTGCTCAGGGACTCCTTGGTAAAGACAGAGGAAAGCTTTCACTTTGCTCTGCTATTTGGTTTGGTTTCTGTTTTTTGTTGTGTTTGGGTTGGCTTGGTTTTGGTTTTTGTTTCTTTTTATTTAATGAATTCTTTTGTTTCACCAGAATTTGAGATGGGAGCGCTGTTGAGAAATGAGAGGCTGAAATACCGCACACAGGGATGGCAATGTGAAAGGATTTGGAGCAGCATGTTCATAAACTTCAACTGAATCCATGAGTGGTTTCTTGCTCCCCACACAGCATTTTTAGTAAATGTAGAACTTAGATTAGGCAGCAAACCTGTCCCAGGATGAGTGCCAGAAAGCTGTGACACCTCACCATGGTCCTGGTGCATCTTGTATGGATCCCCACCGAGGGGTGGATCCAGGTTATTCCCATGACAACATTGCCAGCACTGGACCCAGGAAGGTATATGCCAGTTGTTAAGTGGTACTGACACTAATGATATAATTAGCTGTGTTAAAAGTAATGTCTGGTAGCATCTACTTTGTTTCCAGGGTGACTAAAGCACCATAAATAATGATGTCCAGCAGTGTTTCCATAGAGCTGCTGTCCCCAGCAGGAGTGGGCAGAGGGTCCTTCATGGTCAACAGGCAGGAGATGGATGTGTCAAGTTTCCCTTCTGCCTCCCAGACTGGCAAAGCAAAGATCACCAAATCTAACTCTGACAAAGGGAGCAGTTCTGAGCTAGAAGCCTTCTCCCTTGGCTTTCACAGGCATTGTGCATCACTTGTTTTGTATAATCAATTTCTTTTATAATTGGTGTAATTGTTATTAACTATTCATTAGAACTAATAATGATTAATTATTATCAATAATAATTTTACTTCCTTTTCTGTCTTATTAAACTGTCTTTACCTCAGTCCACAAGTTTTACTTTATTTTTCCCAGTTCTCTCCCCATCCCACTGTAGGAAGGGAGAGTGAGTGAGTGGCTCAGTGGTGGTTAGCTGCTGCTGGGTTAAACCACAACATTCTCTTATCATTTTAAGAGCCCAGCAAGCCAATTCCCATAAAGGGGTAAAGGCAAGTGACTGCCAGCCACTAGCTGCAGTGGCCGGGATTGAGCCATGCCCCTGGTGTTTGCCAAGGCTGAGATGCTGGGAGGGTCATTGGCCTGGAGGAGACTTCACACAGGAAACAGGGAGAAGAGAGGAGGAGGAAAACACACATTTTGAAATGAAAAGCAATCTCAAAATCTTCCATTCGTGTTAATCCAGAAGCAGAAAGCCACATGCACAAGGCTGAGCCTGATCCAACCCCCATCAGCATCAAAGGGAGGATTTCTAATGGGTTCCAGTGGTTCTTAAACTGGTTTTTAGTGTCTAAGACACAACTGCAACTGAATAAAACCACCAGAGCCTCTACCTTTACTGTTCTCTTATTTACTCTAGTCTTCTTACCACCTTTTTATTAAGCACTACAACTTAATGCTGTAAAACTGCAGTCAATTGCTGTTAGCATGAGCTTCATGAAACCTGTACCTATGCAGTTTCCAGCTCTGCTGCCTTTGCTTATTCTTTCAAAGCCCAGATGTATGCAGAGGGGAGGGGGTTACTGGTCCTGTTCAGGGGTGGACTATCAGGGCAGAGCCAGGAAAGACTTTTCCACAGATTTTAAGCAATTCGAGAGCCCTTCAGAGTGATTGCCTTCTATAAGGATTTGAAGATGGAATGCTGTTAAAGTAAACAGAGCTAAACTTGCCAATGCAATCTGTAAGGTTTTCAAGCTGGGGTTAAGGGAAATGCTGTATCCTTCAAACCAATTTCTCTCCAACATTTAATCTCCGAAGTTGTTTGCTGAGGGAACTGCTGCTTTGGAGAGCACAGTTGCTGAGATACCCTGATACTTGCCAGGAGGTGGCATTTCAGTGAATGTGGTTTTGTTTTCACCCTGTTGTTGCACAGTCTCCACTTATCAGTGAAGGCAGGAGGGGAAGTGCACAATTATTCAATAAGGGATTGTTAATGAAATAATAATCGAAAATGGCCCCATGATATGGGTGTTCACAGTAACACAACATTGAGGTAGTAGCTGATTTCATCACATCTCAACTCCAGCAGTGACCATGTCCACATTCAGAGCATACATCCCTTTGCAGACTGCAGCATGAGCCCCTTACCAAGCACCCTCTCTTTCCCATTGCAGCTGCCACAGTGATGTTTCATTAGTCACCCTTACTTTATGAAATAAATTCTTCTCCTTTTGCTGTTTAACACAAAACCCACATTGATTAACACACTGTTATGCAAATCCAAATCATGTGGAAGCCAAAGTACCATTAGATGATCTGCATTCCACTATTTACCAACACGAACAGGGGAGATCGATGAGGTTTCATATTTCCCAGATGTTGAAGTGTATTTCACATGATGGCTTCCCTGAAGGATTGTCCCTGAAAACCCATCATGACGAAGTGCCAGCCCACATCTATATGTCGCACATGTAGGAGGGAGGGTTTTGACACTGTGCAATGTTTTAAGACATAAGCACATCCCAGCACAAAACAGGTCATAAAAGAGGGAGTAAAAGCACAGGGAAAAAGAAAGTGCCAGAAAAAAGTAAACAAACAAAAAAGAAACAAACAAAAGGTATTTTTAATCTGAAGATGTTAAAAGCAAGTTTTAATGGAGACAAATCACCCTGTTTTTAAAGCTGAAGAACAAAACCACTTCCCATTTTAAAATATATTTTGCTTTATTATGTTTTATTATAGCTTTGCTTTATCATCTAACCTAGTGACCTTGTTAACTCAAAGGGGAGCCAAGCTTTCACTTAAAACATGCTTCTCCCACAGTTTTTCATTACTTTTTGTACTCTGACCTGCTCTCTTGTTATGACCTTACTGAGAAACCATGAGAAAAAACATCCTATTTCAGTTCAGAGATGCCCAGAAGCATGCATACACCTGGATGGGTCCCTGTGGGCAGCCCTGTGAAAGCCATGCAATGCATGTGCCTGGTTCACACATTGGATGTGAAGACTTCTGACATTCTGGTTTCCTTTAATAAGGGCTGAGAAATTAATTGACGGAATACATTATTTAATGAAAGACCTAATTGATGCAATAAATAATTCAGACTGTAGTGTGAGACCAGCTGTGCTTGTCCCACACTATCAAATTTGACAGCTGTGATGCTGTTTCTTATGGTCATCTTCCTGCCTCTTGATGGAAAACACAACTAAGTAAGTTGGGCTAGAACTTACAGTTGAAACAACTTCTGAAGAAGCATAACGAGTTGCTTGTACTTTAACACAGGAAGCTCACAGCTCTTTCTTCTGACCTGCTGGGACATGTAAGCCATTCAAGGTAGGTAATGAATCCAGAACCTTGACTAGAAAATGTCATTACCTGGGAACTGTGAGGGGTAAGCAGGCAATACAATAAAAACAGCTCTATTTCAAGATCCACTTTTGTCTTCTAGGCAAAACTACAAGCTGCC